GTTCTTACCTGTGACGGCAGTTTAGCGCTGAGCTCTGTGTTACGGTGAGATCACCTCTTGTTTACAACCGTGCGCGTTCACGGCTCTGGGCCCTGCTGTGGGGGAGGAGCCTAGGAAGGGGAGCTGAGAGCAGGGGGAGGGACTACAAGGTTGTTTCTGTTCAAAATTTTCTAAGTTTTTGGGTACCCAAGAAACTACATACAGCAGCTTTAAAGACTGCAGATAGTTAAAAATTAGTTTTAAATAATTTGCTCAGATTCAGGTGAAAGTTTGCTCAAATCCAGGTTTGATAAATGTGATCAGTAGAAACTGATTTCTTCACTGGTTCAGGTGTTGGAAGTGAACTCCATGACAGGAGGAGTTGAACTTCTGGAGGTCAGACCCGAGCAGCTGACCCTTCAGGATCTTGGAGGAGAAAAGGTATTTCATCTTTGTGTCTCCACTGATGGAAGAGCTGTGCAAATATTTTAACCCCCTTAATGTCTTTATACGTTTCTTCCAATGAGTGAACATTCCTGAACTTCAGCTTTTTTTCCCCCTGAATGATTCTTAGATCAAACTCATCTTAAAAAATAGCCAGAGGTTGGACTGAAAGGTTAAATGTCATCATATTTGTTTTAAATCTTAAATAACATCAAATGTATCTTGTTTGTTTTGGTGATTTAACATAAGATAAAGAGTATAAATGATAATTATCATCTTAAAGGTTTCTATCCTCATGGGGGAGCCGTTCTTCAGCTCCAGCCTGCTGCCGTGGCACTCCCTGTTTTTCTGGTACTGTCGCACCGCTGTGGCGGGTCTGCTGCAGCCCAACCCCACCATCCTGCCCTGCTCCGCCTCCCTGCACATGGTGGCTGTGGAGTTCCAGGTCAGATAGTCCTCATCAACCAGAATCAAATGCTGTGTTTTTAAAGGGGCACTTTGTATTTTAAAGTGGAGTTACGCGTGATGTTTCTGAAGCGTCAACATCTTACCTGCAGCAGACAGCAGTAGGACGAATCAGTTTAAAGCTTGGATCTCTGCTCGTTTTCAGCTACAGAACAGCTTGTAGTATTTATGTTTAGTCACTTCAGGACCATGTACTCTGATGGAGGTCGCATTGAATTTGTGATTGAATTATAATTAATTGAATATTATAATCTAAACAATCATGGAAGTAAATTAGATTTGAGTAAACAGAATTGAGCATGAAGTTCTGCAGCGTGAACTTTGTCTAATTAGTTTTACTTTCACTATTCCTTATGTTAAAAGTATGAAAAACTTTTACCTCACAATACATTTTATACAAAAATATTTTCCTTTTTTGTCTTTACTGTGGGAATATTAGGATTTGTGGAGGATAAGAGCTCCATGTGGAACATGTGAGGGCTTCGATGTCACCCCCATGGATGAAATGGTCCAGGTAATATTTTAAAATCTGTTTAAACCTAAACATTTCAACAGCAGTCATCTTGTGTCCTAAATGGAGTAAAAAAAGTATAAAAGTAAAGAAGTACAAGGTTTTTAGTTCATTTTAATGTTTGTTTGAACTCGTGTTTCTGCAGCGGTCTCTGGATTTCCGTGAGTCTCGMGAGGCGGAGCCCCACCCCCTGTGGGAGTATCCATGTCGAGCTCTCACTCAGCCTGCCGCCGTCATGACGTTCGACTTCACACAGTGTGTCCCTCAACAGCCAATCAGCAGCCAGGGTTCACTGCCTTTCACACGGTACATTAACTGAAGAAGTACTTTTTAAATAGATTTCTGCAGGTTTTTATAAAAGCACTATTCATATTTCTGTTTCAGGACCGGTTGTTGCCACGGTGTCGCCTTATGGATGGAATTCCATCTAACTGATGACATCACAGTCAGCGCGGGTCTGACTGGACCAATCAGCGAAGAGGTATCATCCTTCATTCTGAGAACCTCTCTGGATCAGTCTGTGAATGAGTTYGTTYGCACTGATCATCACATCTGGTTTTTGTTTCTTTGTTGTTGTTTTTCCTGCAGGGAGCCTGTGAGTGGACTCGACACAGGAAGCAGGGAGTTTATTTCTTCAGGTCGGCCTGCGACAGCTCAGGTGATGCCAGGACTGCAGTATCTTACAGCTTCACCTTTGAACCAAGTCTAGGCGACATTAAGATGGACTTTAGTGTCACAAGTCAGTGATGATCATCTGTCACTGACTGAAGAACTGACTGTTTTTTTGTTTTAGTGGCTATTTTATTACTACAATGACTGAAAACGTTTACATGGCTTAATGCCTCAGGTTTATATCAGAGATGAACAATTAYCATGAATTAACAGGAACTCAGTCTAGCAAAACCAAAAGATTCTTTTTTTGTTTTATTTTTATTTAGTTTCAGTTGAATTATCATTTCAATTAATGTAATGAAATAATTCTGGTGCATTTCTAGTTAATCTCTACTTTAGTTCAGTTTGTCCTCAACTTCACACTAAACAAAGCAACAAGCTGGAAATTTTTGCAGCTTGAAAAATCACATTTTATACATTGGAATATTTGCGTTGGCCAATTTAAAAATAAACTTTAGTCCTTGGAACAACCAGTTTAATCAAATCTTAGGTCAYATTTTGTATAACTTCTTATTTCCCTGAATTATTTGGGGACTTTGTTAAATGGGTCAGCTAAACTGCATTTCTGCAAACAAGTCTTTGTTAAATACAGAAATCTGAAATAAATCACAGCCAAACATGATCGGTCTCAGTTTATTTTATGAAATAATGTTAAGACCACTTTGTCCTCCAACATAAATATGCTTCATTTGAACAGTTGAAGTGCTGATTTCTGAAAATGTTCTGATTTTATGCAGTAACGCCACCAGTAATGATGTGAACAGAACTTAACATACAAAAAGAGAAGAAGAATTTAGAGTAAGTTTACCCAAACTGCTGTTTTCAGTTCAAGTTTCACTCAAATGAAACCTGTTGATGCATGAAAGCATCACAAGACACAATCATGTCTTCTTCATGGATTGGGGAAAAAAAAGGAATGTAACGTCTTGAATCGGGAGCAGAAGAGCTTAAGTTTCAAGCATCTGTCAGTGTGTTGTTTTCCAGAACTATTTTCTCTCCTGGTTTGAATGCTGGCATCCCTAAATACGGGCAGCTGGCACATCGGAAGGCATCACCAAGGTAACACTGCCAAAAACAAACGGATGATATTTAATCAGGATTTTGTTCAGGTGTGATAGAAAATGTGATAACTACAGCTTATACTCACACTTCCACATGCAGATTTGGGTAGGTTGGTTTTCTGCTTTTCTTTACTCTCCTGCTCCAACTCTTCAGCAAGTCCACATGTGCTACAAACACACAACATGGAGTAGGTCATGTTAAAATCATCCATCCATCCATCCATCCATCCATCCATTTTCTTCCGCCTATCCGGGGTCGGGTCGCGGGGGCAGCAGCTTCAGAAGGGAGGCCCAGACCTCCCTCTCCCCAGCCACTTCTTCCAGCTCCTCYGGGGGAACTCCAAGGCGTTCCCAGGCCAGCCGAGAGACATAGTCCCTCCAGCGTGTCCTGGGTCTTCCTCGGGGCCTCCTCCCGGTGGGACGTGCCCGGAATACCTCACCAGGGAGGCGTCCAGGAGGCATCCTTACCAGATGCCCGAGCCACCTCAACTGGCTCCTCTCGACGTGGAGGAGCAGCGGCTCTACTCTGAGTCCCTCCCGGATGACCGAGCTTCTCACCCTATCTCTAAGGGAGAGTCCAGCCACCCTGCGGAGGAAACCCATTTCGGCCGCTTGTATCCGGGACCTCGTTCTTTCGGTCATGACCCAAAGCTCATGACCATAGATGAGGGTAGGAACGTAGATCGACCGGTAAATCGAGAGCTTCGCTTTCTGACTCAGCTCTGACTCATGTTAAAATCAAAACTGTTCAAATCAATTCAACAACTAAAACTTTCAGAACTGTTTTTTATATGTTTACCGATTTTCATTGAAAAGTAATAAAGTTTGAAAGAAAATTCATGGCGTCTTGGCATTTCTCTTACTTCATGTAGGTATTAAAACTGAATGTGAGATCTTAAAAAGTCCTGACTATAGCTGAAACGTGCAGAGCTCAGRTCTTACCAGTTCTTGCAGGCTTTTTTCTTGGCACTTCCTTCCCCACAGCTTGGTGCTTTCAAAGAAGCCGGATCTGGTTTCTTCAAATCATCTTCATCCAGCAGAGCATCAGAGTCCAACAAATCCTTTAGAACAAAAAGCACAACTAGCATTAGCAGGATCAGATCATTTTAATAAAAGAACAGCAACAGTTTCTTAATTAGTGACCTTCAGTAATAATGCAATTATATTCATCAATGCTTTAAAATATAAAATTAGTGAAGATTTAAAATTTATTTAATTTTGGTATGAAATGTGTTTGTTGGTAACAGATGCTTAGCAAGGCAAGAGTACACAGTATGTATGCAACACCATTGCTGTGCAAACAAATATGATTGTTACTTCTCACTGCATATAATAAACCTATAAAAACTACATTTTTCTAACTTTCTCTATAAAGTAGATGAAGTTTGACCCAAAAACTGAATCTAAAGCAGTTCTCTCTCTCTCAAAGATAAAGTTAATCATTTATCAACAATAGTCTGGACTCACCACATCATCATCATTCATGTCGTTGGCTGACAGCGTCCACATTTTCACTGTGTTGGGATCCAGATCTGGTTTATCTGCTGCAAACACAAAATTCACATTTCAAATTTTGAACTTAAACAATTTCAGAAACTACAAAAATGCAGCACTATGAACAGGATATATAACATATCTTTATGTATACATGAAAAAATGTATTGAATATGATTAAAAAACAGTTTGCTGGAATGTATTCTAGAAAGTGAATATTTCAGCTGTTTTTCTTAGTCGTTTCCTCAAATAAATACAATATATTCTCAGTGAACTCTGAACTATTAACTGAACTTTGTCATGACTCACCATTTTTTTAACTACAGCTGTGAAATTTCTGTCCGAAAAAAAATAAATAAATAAAACTTACTGAACCCACCTGGATTAGATGTCTTTTTCCCGAAGGACAACTTGATCTGGCTGGATGAGCCGACCTCGTAGTTGGGTTTGGAGGCAGAAACGCGCACTCGGAACAGCGCGTTCCCTTGGTAACCTGTTGATGCTCTGAGGGTGCTCAACGCCTCAGAACCGAGCTCCGTTTTATTGACCTGAATGTAAGGGAAGAAAGAGGATTAGCAAACATAAGAGGAAATTTTTTATAAACCAGGATTTGTCTGGTGATGTTTTTAATCTTTTATTTATAATGACAAAAGAATGTGCTTTTGATAATAATTGCTAAATTAGCTAATATAAACATATAATATAAGCAGAATATTTTGCAAATAAAAACAGTTTTTTTTATTTTGCTTCATTTAGAATGACAAAATGATTGTCATGGTCTCTCTGACTTCATCTCAGGAAAACAAATGTTTACAAATTCTCATTTCTAATCTAAATCCTTTTGCTCACCTCTGTTACTGACATGAATCCGGACAACTTCAGCATGGATACAAGTTTCTCAGCCGTTTTCACATTCTGTGCTTCTGTGTCTGGTACATAAAAAGAAATAAACGGTATAATACTGGCAGAGCATCAACTTAAATCAGCATGGCAACTCTGTACATAAAGAAATATGAACTATAGGTTCGAAGTTGGTGTGTATTTTTTTTATTGATTTTGTATTTTGAGTAGATGGTAAATGTTTTAAACATATTCAGTCATATTTCTATAGTTCTTTTACATTTTAGGTACATCACATAACTCCATTTCAGAACACAAGTAGCTCAAAGATCTTTCTCCGATAGTGATAACTAATTTCTATTGAAAAAATAACAGCAATCATGAGTTAACCTGGCACTATCACATTTTGTTTTCTGTCCAAGACATGATCTGTAATAACAGTTTAAGAAAAACATCCTAAGAGAGCTCAGAGTAAAACTTCCTTGTGTTTTTATGGGAGTGAGCTGAGAAGGTTTGAAGAATTCGCTGAAGAGAATGTACACCTAACTCAACCTGGGAAGGATTTGTGTCATATTAGAAGTAGATGCTTTATGGAGTTTGCTGTCACAACTAGCAAATATCTGACAACGGACATAAAAATTAAATAAAAATAAGATGAGAGGAGTTCCATCTCTTACCTGTAACTGGTTCATCGAGGATCAGCCGGCCGCCTGGTTTCAGCACTTTGACCATCTCTGCTAAAGCGTCTGAACTGTGGATGAAGGAGCTGTCAGCCAGAAGGCAGGAGAGAACCCAGTCAAAGGAGGATGCTGCATGAGACGCTGGAGGATGAACAAGGAGAATTAAACTGATGCCTTCTAGATTTTAATACATGTCAGACTGAAGACATTTATTTTTTACATTTAATTTTATTTGATTGATTTTATAACCTAGACACCCTTTGTAAAAACTAGAACTAGTAGCAGTGAAAATTGCACCTAAAGATTTAATTTCGTCCCTGAAAGTCTGAGAGACATATTTAAGGAGCTGTTTATTCACTAAATATATTTACCAAATCTGGACATAAAAATCTAAATGACGTCTTAACTTAGTTTAACTTGATATCAGTGCGAGTTACTCACAGAGCAAGAGTCTCTCCATGTTCTCTACAGCCACTTTTCCATCTGCGCCTACAACGGCACCCAGTTCCTCTGCATACTGTTTCAAAGCTTCTGGCTTCGATGGTTGAGCCCACACCAACAGCACCTTGTCTCCTGTTCTGATGCCAAGGTCTGCCATGATATCTTGAAAAAAGACACGTGCAAAAGTTAAAACCTTCAGATATATAACGTACATGGTGTTTTAAACCACTTCAACCTCTCACTCAGAACAACCTGACAATAATCTTAAGGGGTAAATTAGTTAAAATAGCTCTTCAGCCCTATCTTTATTTGAAATCTTACATTTTTGGACATAACTAACATAATACGTAAGTCCATACTATTGTTTATGTGTTCATAATACTGCTACTCCTTTAATTATAACCATCTATGGAGGCTAAATAAACAAAGGTAGGCAGTATTTATGTCAACAAAATAAAAATGCTGGGAGAGGAAATAACACGTTAGATATTAGTCTGCCAAAAATGTAAGCACAGGTAACCAGTATCTCATTGCATGGCTCAAATCACTTTGACTGGCACACATTTTACAAAAACAGCACTGATAAACCTACCAATATACAACAAGCTTCAAGAACAAAGCAAAAGATCAGAAACCTGATCATTTAGGCTTTAAGGTTGTAGAGGAACACGGTTCAAACCTTTAATATCTAAGATATTCATATAAACACAAAGAGTGATGAATGTAGCTAATTAAATGCACTAGTTACGTTTTGTCTTGGAAGGGGAGAGCTAAGTCACCGTGACGCAGTTGTTACCTCTTTGGCGACACTTTAGGCTCTTAACCGAGTTCTTTACTAAATACTGGTAAACAATTTTGCCTGTAAACATATATAAACTACATTTCGCACAATAATAGCTTAAAGTCCCACTGACGAGCTTTGTGACTTAAATAAAACACATCTTAAACAATTGTTCTAGACTCACCTGCTATCTTGATGGTTATTAAAAAGTCACGTAAGCAAATGAAGAGAGTTTCCGGTTTTTATTTTTCAAAATAAAAAGAAATTAGATTAGAATGTGTTGCGTCGTTTGGCAAATTCAGTAAATGCCATGAAAATCTGCACTATTTAGAATAATTTTAACGATAATTTGTAAGTATTAGGGTTAAAATTTAGATTTTTTTTTCACCGACATAAATAGATGGAAAATGAGACGTTTGGTTTTTGTAGGTAAATTTAGCAGTCTTGACTTCCGTTATTTGATAGTCGCAGGAAAGTGACGTAGCTGTGAGGTCGAAGCTGAATATGGCCGTGTTTCTGAGAGGACTGCGGGCTGGAAGAGTCCTCCGAGGGCTGAGCAGCGGTATTACAAGCTTTGTGTTTTGTTGTTGTTCGGTGTAAACACTCCGCACCCAGTAAAAAAAAAAGTCAAACGTTTGCGATCCTTTCCTGTTTAGTGTCAAAGTTTGGAAATTACCCAGAGTTCATGTTAGCTAACTCTGTCAAAGGTGATCATGAAGGACAAAAACAATTGAAATACCGTGGCTGTAATGTCAAATTATTAGTACTATATTTGATTTTTTTAAGGAAATTAAATTTTGCAGACGTATATTTTAAGACATGCAAAGTGGCGTTAGTAAGTTCCTGCAGCTGTGTGCCGTCGTTCTGTGTAGTTATGCAAGCTGAAAGTGTTGTGCTAAGCTATATATAGCTTACTTTACTGTACGATAAGTTTGAACAACACGCAAATGCACTCGTGTATACTAGTGTATTGTGTTTTTTTTTWAGTTAAATGCCAATTTAGCAGGATTTGTGTGAAAAATATAAAAAAGAGGCACCGTAAAGTAAACAAATTAATTTATTTGCATTTACTTAAGTTAAAAAATACATTTATTTTTAATATGCATTCTTGATTGGCATTTAACTGGTCAAGAGTTGCAATTAAAATTTGTATTTATTATTTGCATAAACAGTTTATGTGTGTGTATGTGTGTATGTATTGTGTTTTTTTTTTAGTTAAATGCCAATTTA